CTACTTTCTCCTTCTGGGTACCCCTTTTTGGGCAAAATATTAAAACTTTTTTAAAGAAGAGTAATCCAAGGGGTGAGGGGAAATCCTAGCAATTGAAACTTTAAATTCCTTTGTCCCTAATTTTTGATATCTATACCGGGTTTCCCCCAAAATGAGCTGTTTGTTGGAGCCCATTTTTTGGGAGTCAAGACCCCTTCAATGATGACATAAATCAGAAAATGTTTAAGAGTCAAGCCCCAGTGTCTTTGGTTAGTTTTAGCCCCATTGGTTTTCCAAACAATTCGTTTGCAGTGGGTACCCCCCAAATTTTTAATTCTTATTGCCCTAACTCAACAAATTTTTATCGTTTTTTAAAACTGGGAGGTGGCAAAAGGCAAAATGCCCCTCCCAGAAAACCCGGTTTAGACCCAATTCATTGTATAAAAATTTGTGATAACTTATTATCCCGGCGGGGTAGAAATTTTTCTGAGCAGTTGTTTAAAACAAAAAATTTTAAAGGAAAGGGTTTACTAGCAATGAGCTTCTTGGGAGGGACTTGTGGGTAGTGATTTTAAAATTTAAACCCCATCTTCCAGGGAGGGGGGGAAATGCTCTTTTTTGGCCACAGTGATACAGTTCATGTATTTTTAAAAAAAACAAAAATTCAATTGCACGTTTTAAAACCCCATTTAGATCTGGGTGAAATTTCCCTCTAGACATTTGGGGAAAGATTCACTGGGGACTGCCCGGGTTTCGTTTTTTCCCAAACATTCTAAAACGAGTTCCAGTTTTTAATTTAAAACAACCCCTACACTGATACTAAAATACCAAGCTTTTCCTCTTTTTTAAACTTTTGTAGTTTCTGGGACACCCAAGAATAATCCTGAGAGCTTCATTTTGCTTTAAACCCCAAGGGTCGGAGAGAACTTTTCTCTAGAAATTATCAACATGGGGCAGCATAATCAATTAAGGCCCTTTAACTTGGGCAATGTTACACATTCTCACGTTTTCCCCACATTGGGCCCCAAATTTGGGGATTTTTAGCCAGCAACAGTTTTGAGAGAATTTACCCTAGCTTTCCCTTTCTTGTTTATTTGTGGTATAGGGGTTTTGTTAAAAGGGTAAAATCTACCCCAAGATATCTGAAAGTTTTTAACAAAGTAATGATTTTCCACCCTGAAAAAAGTTGGGGGGGGGGTTGTCGTTTGCTTTTTAAAAGATCTTTGTTTTAGAGGAAGAAAATTATGAGGTAGCGATTAAAAATTTTGCTTGAACTTCTTTAAAGGGAATGGTATTATTTTTTTAATCCCCCTGTTGTAGGGTCATGAAAATCATCACATAGCTTATGGGCTATATGTTTAGGTGGGCAGGAAGAGCTTTTTGGAACCCTTAATCAGAATATTAAATAGAAAGGGGACTAAAACTCCTCCCTGCGGTTGTTCCCAAAAAAAATTTTCTTTGGGAATTTCATTTCTGAACCCCTTGGTAAAAAACAGGGATACCTTTTGACAGATACCCTATTACCCCGCAGAGAAAGGGTAACCCCAAAAATTCTTTTTGGGCTGTTCATGAAAATTTTAACGGTTCTGTTCGCAATATCAAATGTAGATTTTAATCAAGAAAAGTGGTAAAACTAGTCAGGTGTGTGCAGTGAGAAAGGGGGAAATACAGTTCGCACGCTTTTACCTTTTAAAGGGAATTTCCCTGAGGTAGGGGGAAATTTGGTTTTTTGATTCCGTAGTTCAGGGCTATTAACATTCATTCTTTCAAAAGTTTTTCAAAGACCTGTTTAAAGGGGATCGGCCCAAATGTATTAAAGGGTTTTTTGGGGGGAAAGGGATAGGCACAATGAACTATTGGTCCAGGAAAATGGAAAAGAACCCCCAAAGAAAATGAGATTATACCGTCCCAAAAAAGGGTTTTCAGGGACTTTTCCCCTTTAAAATTCTAAAAAATATCATAGGTTTACCATCCTCTCCAGGAGCAGTTTATCGAACCTTTTTTTTAAAAAGCACAAACTAAATTTTTACTCGGTTTAAAAAAAGGGAATCACTTTTCATCAAAATTTTGGGGTATAAAATTAAACAGTTTTAAACATTTCTTCAGAAGTACCCTAATTTTTTTTTAATATGAGAGGGGAAGGCTTTCTGCCTGGAAAGTTTTTTGGGCCCGTCAAATTTTTTGAGGGGCAAATTTTCTTTTTCAAAAGGAAAGGGATAGGCAACATTGCCCCGTTCCCTTTTTCCCCGGGTTTTTTTATTTTTACCTTTCCAAGCCAAAAATCAAAGGGGGGGCCCCCTAATTTTTTAAACCCCTAAAAAAACGTTCCCATTCCGTTGCCCAAGTTCTTCCCTTTTTATTTTCCCTTTCCTTTTTTTAGTCGCTTGGAAATTCTGAGCAGGGCGGGGTTCTACATTTTACGGTAAGCTTTAACCCAAACCTCCTAGCTTTCATGTGGGTTTGATTGCATAGCTTTTTGGGTATTATAGTATTTAAAATTGGTTTTTAAATTTTTAATTTTTAGTGGAGGGTCTTTTTTTCCAAATTTCCCGCCCCCTTTTAAACTTGAGAAAACTCTCAATAGTGGTAATTAAATCTTTATTAAATTTTTGTGTGCCAATGGGCCGGGAATTTTTTATACCATTGATCCCAAAATGGTTAATTTAAATTTTTCTCTGTGTTCTGGTTTGAGAAAAATTCCCCCTTTTGTATTTAAACTCCCGGGGTGGAGATGTGAACAAGATTGACAGTTGTTAGCTTTGGGGAAATGACAGATAAAATCATCAACCCCATGGGAAAAATCTGCATGTATATGATGTTTAAACCCCAAGGGCAAGATCTTTGTATGCCACCATATATGTAGGAGGCCCCAGTAGTCCCCCAAATTGAACATTATCATGGGGTCATTTAAACAATTTCCCAAATTTATTTCCCCTTGGTTTTTGGGTTTAAAAACCCACCAATAAATTTTTATGTCTGGCATTAAAAAACTCCAAGAAAGAAAGGTTGTTTCCAATTGATGCGATTGGTAAAGAAACAGGTCGAAACTTTTTTCGCGGGGGATAGAGATTAAAAAAAAAAAAGGTTTTTTTTTTTGGGAAAAAACCCTTTTCAAAAACTTGACACCATGATAAAATGCATGGTTTAAATCGCCTGCAAGGAAAAGGGGGAATGTGGCAAGTTCTTTTGGGAAAACATCACACCCAAAAGTTGGTTGACCTTAGGTTAAAAGTGCAAAATCCGGCAAATTTGGGGAGGTGCTCCATCTTTTAACCCACATTCCTGCAAACAGATGGGCAAACAATATTTTTTGGTTGCACTAATAAGATTTTAAGTCAGGCAAAAACCCCTTCCTGAAGGAAGCAATTTTTCCATGAAAAAATTTGTAAGTTCCATTGAAATGATTATTAAATCTCTTGTCCCTAAGATGGGTTTTAAAAAATTTATGCTTTGGCTACAGTGTGGGGGAAAACATTAAGACAAATGATAGTTTTGTAGTCTTTATCTTCAGGGGCCTTTTTTTTTTAAAACATTTTTTTTGGCCTCTTGGCAGCCAAATTAAAAAAGGCCCGTCTTGAAGGCAAAGGGCATGGGGTTCTTTCTTTCCAAAATTTCTGGGAAATGAAAGGGAAGATTGCTGCACTTTTGACATCATCACCCGCTCAAGAGCATCATCCTGATTACACAAATTTTTTAAACTTGCAGGATCTGTTTTAAGATGCTCCCAAATTTTTTTTTGGAAATTTGTTATAATTTTGGGGGAAGGGAAACGAATCCCAAAGCCCCTCCGGAGGATGGCACTTCCCGGGGTTTGGGCTTCTTTTTAAAAAACCTATCACCTTAAAAGGGACCATTTGGGTTAAAATTTTGGTTCTTGTTTCATCATTCATTGCAGGTAGGTCCCAGTGCATTGACCCTCTCCAATTTCCCGGGAGGTTACCTGTGTGGGGCCCTTGACTGTTGTAGTTTTTGTGTATTGGGAAAATTTACAAACTCATCCCCCTATTCAGGTTTTAGCCCTAGGAAACCCGTAGTGGGCCCGACCCGTAGTTCCCTAAAGGCCCAGCAGGGAGGGTAGCTCCTCCACAGCTGGTTTTGGGGATGGCATTTTTGGTTTCCCCCAGAATCATTTGCAGTTTAGGGGGGGTTTTTTGCAAAACTTTGCAGAGGGTTTAGTTCAGGGTCTGGTGTGGTAGACGGGGTGGCCTCATTTCCCATTTTCCATTAAAAAGGGGTTTTTATAGGTTTACATCGAAGGTTTTGGGTTTGACTGCAGTCTTTGTGGGAAACTGTAACCCCAACTTCTTTACAGTTAATACACTTAAATTTTTGGCTGTCAGGGCCTACTGTGCATTCTCTTAGTGGAATGTTTCCCAGCACACTTACCACACCAAGAATGTAGTATTCCACAGTCTACTGCAACATGGCCATAGTGCTGGCATTTGTAACACCTACGTTTAGGGGGTAGGTACACTTCGATGTTTAGGAAACGTAAACCATGCACCCAGATATTCCGGGGGAGGGGCACAGGACCCACCCAACTGGCAATAATTTGGGATTTTCCTTTAAGTCTTTTAGGCTTGATGATATGCTCACTGAGAGTCAAATGGGATGGGTCCATGCAGTGAGGGTATCCAAAGATTATGATACTGACCTACTTTTTAAAGTGGTGAGTGTCTGATGGAGGTCGTGTCCTGAACTGTGCATAAGTGTCGTTTTTCCTCATCGTTTCGGTATCACCATACCAAAACTTTCGACCATTTCCACTCATTTATTAGTCCAATTCTCCCTCAAAGCTACCCAATGTATGCGTAAATGACACTATGTGGCAGTTCTGCTCGTTTACAGTTGAACTGCCAAACCATTGCCTAAATTTTCTTTTTCTAAATGCAACTTGAATCCATTAATTCATTTCTCTATAAGTGTTATTTTTTTATGAGTCTTCAACTTGTACTAAATTAGTCTAATGTAGATATGTAACAAAGTGTGCATTAATTTATTATATATTTCTTGATCGGCAGAGTACGGTATGGTAGAGGCCGCTGGAGCAATGGCGATGTTCGTGCTTCGGCTGGCGGGGATCCTATCACTCGAGAACTCAATCAAGGAACAGGAGGCCAACCTCACCGACTCACAGATCAGCCTCACCGACTCACAGATCAACCTCACCGACTCACATATCAACCTCACCCAACCACACATAAACCTCACCGAACCACACATAAACCTCACCGAGTTACACATCAACCTCACTAATCCACACACAAACCTCACAAGTTTGAGGTTTATTTCCAGTACCTCAAATTTGTCCCGGTCCTCCCAAGATGTGTTGCCTCACGTCAGTCTTACCGCTCCCTTGAGTCCTGTCGAGGGAGACTCATTGTCTCTTGCAATTTCTTCCCAACCCACAACCACACCTACTTTAGGGCCAACCACACCGACTCTAAGTACTGATAGTATTAAATTATCTAGAATAAAGGAATCGCAAACTGACAGTTTCTTAGAGCCCTCTAGTTCTCCTAGTCATAATGAAATTAAAATTTCAACTACCAGTACAAGTTCATCGCACGATCAAAATAGCAAGGAAAACGAAGAAATAGCAAAAGATTCGATAGAAATGTTACCTAGTGCTAGTCCTCTGTCTAATGTTCAAGATTACGATGGGGGTAGTGAAACAAATAAAAATGAGTCTCAACCCATACACAATTCTGACTCACGACCAATTAGACAGTCAGAAGAACTAGAAAGGCGAGACCATCAAGGAATTATTTTGCAGGAAGTACAAGACAGTGTCAGAAGTCTTGGCCATGAGGATGTTGGTGATGCTGGTGAGGATAATCGAGGAAGAGCGACGCCGGGGAGGAGTTCAGAGACGTCGGCTGTTGCAAAAACAAAAGTGAGAAAGAAAGAGACGACACAGAAAGGAAGAAGCGACGCAGGACGTGTTATAGCTTCCAACGCAGGAGGAAATGTATCTGGAGGTGTGAAGACAGTAGGACATAATCATGCGACAAACTCCCCTCCTACGGTTGCGCCCGCACCCACACCCACACCGTCAGCGAGATCACGCCTACGTCTTGAGGCTTTGGTTGAAGACGATGACATGTCAGGGCTGATCGATGCTCCCAGGCTTGCTGATACACAGAGATTCGCTGATCTCGAGGCCCCAGCCGAAGGCTTTATTGAAAGCGATTTAGAGTACTACGATTTTGGGACTTATCAACAGATAGTGACTCCAAATCCTACGCTGTCTTCACTGAGTTTGGTTAGTGCTGTGCCAGTCAGGCCTCCATCAAGACCCCCAGAATCTCGCAGACAACATAGGACAAGAAAACCTGCTCCGGCTAGACCAAGGAAAGTGCCCCCAGGCAGACCAGTACGCCCAGTGCATCACCAGCGACCCCCTTTGAGGAACAACCCTTATCCATATGGCCCTAAAATACTGCCCGGACCATACGCACCTCTCGCACATAATTTACCAACCGCTAGAGAGAACGGGGAGGAGTACAATTATGAGGAGGACTTGGAATACTACTACGACCCCGAAGACAACGAGGAGTCCAAGTATGAAGTGCAGACTAGGGAGCCGCCTGTTCTCTTCGTCTTCGACAAGCCTGGTTATTCCCCAGAGCCTCCCACCACGATGGTCCCCCCCACGTAAGTTACCTATTGAGTTGTTACTCCTGCGCACACCTGCTTACTTCAGTTCGTGTCTCCTTGTTATGTGCCCTCCCATATCAGTCTGCTTATTTGTTTGATCGATATCTTAAGTGTTTTATATGTTGGAATAACGGTTCGTCTCGTTCTTTAATCCTGTAGTAATGCCAGGTTTAGTTCATTGAATTTATATTAACATTCCATTTCATTCCTGGCAACATGACATTTCGTGCGAGTATGAATGTGATGTGGTGTGGCCTCCGCAGTGGTGTTGCACAATATTTAATTTCCTGAATTAATTTATCATTACTTCCAGCTGTGTATACATCGCTAATGTAATACGCTTATTAATTGAAGCCTCTGGGAAAACATTTAATATGATATCTTTCACAGGGTCTTGTCTATGTCTGATGTTTAGATTAGCATCCCTCTAGCAAGTGATACTTGGCTGCCGGTCGCCTTTTGCTGGCGCCCCTTCCCATGACTAGGTGCGGTTCGGTTGAAATCCGGCATCATCTTACTAGACCATTCCTGTAGTTTATCTAGGTTACATAACAATAAGACTTTCCTTGAACTATTAACCCCAAAGGGATTAACCCTTAAATTGTCCAAACAAATTTACGTTCACATGCGTAGCGCTCCAAAAGTAGATTATATTTTTTTACATATTTTAAAATATAACAACAAAAAAAGTAGATCAAAGTTTTTTTTTACACGTTTTCAAATGTAAAAAAAAAGAAAAGAAGATCTACGTTTTTTTTACATACTTTCAAATGTTGAAAAAACGTAGATCTACGTTTGGACAGTTTAAGGGTTAATAGCCCAGAAAGCCAAACTGAGTGTCTTATTTTTGTTGTCTTTAGGTCCTCTCCTGGGATGCGACCTACAATAGGTGGAAACATTGTGCATGTTTTCTTAAACTTGCTGCGCCTGTTCACCTAGTAGTATGTTGATACTTGGGTGTTAGTTAACTGCTGTGGGTCACATCATGGGGAATGGTAGTATATCTTAGAGCCGGGCTGTGAAATGAGTTGAGGTAGGATAAGAGTTCTTAGCCTGTAAAATTGATTTGAATAAAAAAAAGTCTGCTTAACCACATCATTGCCTGATTTAAAATATGCAGGCACTGCACTTCCCATACTCTGTTCACACTTCAGCAGCACATCGAATAAAAAAAAATTGCCTCAACTGCTGTAACTCGCTCCACCTGATTGATTTATGCTCAAGCCTCTACACATAAAACCTTCACACCCTCCTCCTAGCTCCTCCCCGGACTTCCATTAGACACTTCTATTCGTTTCAGATTATACATCCTCTTAATGAATATATTTTGGATATAGAGGTATGTGATACCGACAAGTAGTGGAGAAAGACACAAAATGCAATCACTAGTACAAGTTTATTGGAAACTCTTCGGTCCCAGGACCGTGATATCTTTGAACATATCTTGCTCTAATCCATCCTACATGACCAGCTTATTTCAATACCTCTTCCTTGGATTATACATTTTATTCTCCGCATAATATTCACACTGCACCCTCCTCTCAGACACGCTATATCCACAACCTACAACCGTCTCATGAAGGAACGACACAGTGTGATCTGTGATACTCAAGAAAGATGCACCTTTGTTGGATATCCACAGATCACAGATACCCTTGAGAAAATAAAGAGAAAATATTGCGAAATATTAAGGATTTTCATTTCATATAAAATATTAAGATTTTGCTTAATTTTCCCGTTAAAAATTAGTTTACAGAGCAATCGTGATATAAAATAATAATTTATGTGTGTCCAGGAGCGGTGCCAGAATTTCTATTCTGGGGAAGCTGTGGGTTGCTTCCTGGCTGAAAGTGGAGCTACGAGATTTATTTTGAAACAGTTTTTATTATTATTATTTTTATTGAGGGAGGGGGGCTCAGGGAATTTGGGAGTGAAGCTTCTCAACCCCCCATCCCTTCCCTTTCATCCCTTGGCGCAACCACTGTGTCCACACAATGTAACAGCAATTCAGTTAAACCGGCAGCCGCCACCACCTCGCTGCAGCACTCAGACTACATACTATGACCATGCCTGATATATTCCCATTGTTTTAGTCACTTCGAAACTTTGTTCTTTCCACAGATTATTCAACACTTACATCCCCTTCCTTTACCAGTTTTGTGTTGCACCTCATTGTTCATAGATCCATTCCCAAGCATTTAGATATAATTTTTTTATACTCGTTACTTCCAGTCTCATCCAGTCTTTCTTTCGCTCTCCCTCGTTATGAATTCCTAATCTTATAATAATAATAACCATAATTTTTATGGGGTGGACCGGTAAGCCAGCTAAAAGCCTCGGTCCGATGACGAAAAACAACTGCAGGTCATTATGTGACCCACGCGTCAGGAAACACTTGTCCTGTTTCCTGACAAACGTTACCTAACCCTACCTAATCTCTCCCTCGTTACCTTACTGCTTTCAGTATCCGCTTATACTTTGTTTCTTCCACGTGCTGTCTCTACTCACCTAGTAGCAAGTCGGTACCTCGGTGTTAGCCGACTGGTGCGGGGCAGTAGCCTGGGGAGAGAATTGAAAGATCTCAATGGAAATAAGCCAGCTTTATTAGAGTACCATATTACAAAGGGTATACAATACCGACGGGTTGATGAGCAAGATATGTGCAACACTGGGAATCTTTATTGATGAAACGTTTCGCCTGCGTTGCAGACTTCATCAGGCCAATACAGAGATGAATCACGTTCTTGGAGACACCAGCCTTGGTGGAAGACCAAGTAGACGAAGTGGAGAGGTAATTTGATAAAGTCAGTTCACCAGTCTCGGTGGAAGATATTCAGTCTCGTAGCCTGAAGCTTTAATGTAAGAGACTGATTATCTTGTACCAATGTTTATGTCTGCAGGAGTGTGATTAATCTCTGTATTCAACTAATATGAATAACCCTCTGGGTTACTAATCCGAACAGACTCATTTCTTTCTACCGTACATAGGATGGATATGAGGTGCACAATAAACTAGATTCTTAAGCGGTAAAATTGAAATAATCTAATCGAAATCTGAGCATCAGTCTATAAAAAAAATCTCTAAAGCTTTTAATATTTCACCACCTATTGTAAACCCTAATGTGATTATCTTTATCCAAGTACTGCTCACTTATGTGTCAATAAAAACGCTTGATGCACGTATCCATCCTTATAAATACATCTTGTTTCTCTGCAGTCATGCTATTAAAGACTATCGTGATAGTTTACAAGTGGTGTGCAGTGTTAATAACCAACGTGCAGTCGATAGGCTTTAAACCTAACAAATAAGCTAATTGTTAATTTTTGTATGCATTAAGCTTGTGGCTGGCACTGTGGTTGG